ATATAATATAATACGCCCGATACTTTGAACCATGAATGCAACAAAAGCCCATTAAAATATAAAACCAAAAGAAGTGAAATCAGTGTAATATGTACCTTGTAACGATGATAAAAATCAATGGCTACGTCTCCATTACTTCGGTCTGCTATTTTGCCTGCATAACATACCACAATATGATTATCAATTATAAATAATTTTTTCTTTAAATTAGCCTGGTTTTCATAGCCCACGAGCTATCTTGGCCTACGGCACGGCACAGGCCCGTATAAACTTAAGCATTAACTTCTAAATTATCTTAGGGGAAGATAACACGACCCTGCATCACCTCTAGGCCAATACAACATGACCCGCATTTTATATGGGCCATCCACACTGATCATGCCATGCCAGCCCGGCCCGTTTTACAGGAGCCACCCACTCGTCACATATCAACTTAGGCTGGTGATATACCCTTAATCGGTGGACTAAGCATTATCAAACTTAGTCTAGACCGAATTTCCTACCCACTACTCTCTAACCATAGTATCGAATTATGGGAGAAAAAGTGAATACGAAATCTGGGTTCTGATCTCCTTACACTTAAGGCTTTTAATAAATTGTACATTAACCAAAGAGAATTCATCAAAATTCATAGTGGTGGTTTTGATTTGTCAATTTAAAAGTGAGATCTCCGGATACGATAATCACCCAATCGTACTCTTCGGAGTCTAATCAATCAAAACCAACTCTCTCCATGTTGATGAATTCTAATTTGTTAATTAATGTAACACTTGAAAGAATTAAATAATTTAACTCAGGAGACTCATGTTACAATGAAAGAAACAATATAGATTTACATGAACTTTTGAATGAAAGGAAAAAGATGAAACAAAGAACCATTGTCATCTCCAAAAAACCCAGAGAGAGAGAGAGACCTGGATATTTGTGAGTGAAAGTATCCCATATACTGGGGCCTTTACCACCTTGTTTAGCTGCACCTTCAAACTAAGAAACCATGCACAAGGGTCAAACGCAGGCTGCCAGATATATATATCGTAGCAACTTCTACAAATTAACTTAAGAAGGTTTCTTGCTGAAATACCTGATAAGAAGCTGATGCCGCCCCAAAAACAAAGCCTGCTGGAAAACTGTATCGGTTTAGTGAAGTTGAGGAATCATTACTCAGTGCAGCACCCCCAGATCGACCCAGCAAGTCGACAAGGATAAGCAGGCCGAGCAGGGGGAAGCTTTGAAATGCCATAACAGCCGGTTTGGGTTATGGAGAGAGTCATCTCAGCATCCTTTAAATAGAGAAGCATGAGCATAGATAGATATTTGTGGTACATAGGTAAAAAAATGGAACATTTCCCTCAACTTTTGTG